GCGCGCGTCGGCCGCGCGCTCGTCGGAATCCGCCCAAAACCTTCGTCGCCGACGCGAGGGCGCCGTCGTCGTCATCGGCGTGAGCAGCGTCGGCGCCGTCGTTGCCCTTGCCGCCCTTGCCGTCGTCATTCTCTCCATCGTCGCCAGCATCGCCGCTATCGCCACTGCGTCCGTCGTCGTCGACGTCGCCGCGGTGCCGCGCCCGCCCTGGTCACCGACTCGCACTGATGCGCGCGCGCATCAGCGCGGCTTGCGAAACGCGCTGGAAAGCCCCCGGCGGACTGCGCCAGCGCGGCCGCGTCGGTCGCGCCAGACCTAGTCGGCCGCTCTGCGCGCGGGCCTGCGCGCGCTAGCGCGGCCGCAGCGACGCGCCGGCCAGCGCCGAGCAGTCATCGCGATCGCCCCCGCGTGGGCTTTGCAAAACTAGTTGCGGGCTGGCGAGAGCATCGCGCGAGCGGTGGGATTGGCCGCTCACTTCGAACGATGGTCCATCGCTCAGCCTAGATTCTTTGCGCTAGCGAGGAATTAAGACCCACCGCCAGACCGGGGCGGGATTATCGACCCCCCCCCTGTGGATGTGCAATTCAGACATGGTTCTGCCCCAACTGTGAATTCTCGCCGCCCCGGCCACGCCGGCCCCCCCCCGCCCGCCCCCCTCCTTTGCCATGCAGCACCATGTGCGCTTTTTCATAACAAGTCATAAGTTTGAAGAATCACTTGCGACAGATCAGGCGAAGTGCACGCGGCCGCTTCGTCGCCGAACGTCCATGCGCGCGTGCTGGGGGGGGGCGCGATCCTTGTCGCGCGATGCCGCGCGGGCCACTCGCGCGCGTCGGCCGCGCGCGCGACGAAATCCGCCCGCCACCATCGTCGCCGGCGCGAGGGCACCATCGTCTCTATTGTCGGCGTGAGCAGCATCGGCGCCTTCGTTGCCCTTGCCGTCGTCGTTGTCATCATCGCCACCGGCATCGCCACTGTCATCGCCGCGTCTGCCGTTGTCGACGTCGCCATAGTGCCGCGTCCGCCCAGGCCACCGATTCGCGCTGACGTGCCCGCGCGTCAGCGCAGCCAGCGAGACGCGTTAGCGCGCCGGGGAGTTCGCAGTGGCCAGCGCAACCGCGGCCGCGCCCGTCGCGCCAGACCAGCCGGCCGCTCTACGCGCGAGCCTGCGCGCGCTATCGCGGCCGCAGCGACGCGGTGGCCAGCGCCGAGCAGTCGCCGCCATTTCACCCGCGCGGATTTTGCAGACCAAGTTGCGGGCGGGTGGGCGGGTGGCACGATTGCGCGATCAGTGAAATTCTTTTCCTTTCGATCAAGTAATTAGGACCCGCCGCCACCCGAGGCCGGGATTGCCACCCCCGCCCAAGGAAGTGCGCGCGCGCGGTTCGCCCCCGACTATAAATTGACTCCGCCCCTGCCATGCCCGGCCCTCCCCCGCGCCCCCCGCCATCGCCTGCCAAATGCATTGCGCGCGCATTCGTTCATCAGAAACGATATGCTTTCGCAAATCCCTTGCCACAGATAGGGCGAAGTGCACGCGCGCGCCGATTTGATGGGGCTCGGGTAGATTTATCCCAAAATTGGGCCTCGCGAGCACATGGGAACATGGATTGGCAACGCGTTGCGTAGACAAAACAGGTATGCTTGCGTCTCTGGTGAATTCTGCAGGATGCCATCGGTTTCGAACATGTATCCTCACATGTTACCAAATGGGCGTCTCGCGCGCGCGTGCTGAGAGGGGTCGCGACTCTCGTCGAATTGCCGCGCGGGCCGCTCTCGCGCGTCGACCGCGCGCGCATGTCGAAATCCTAGGACGCCATCGTCGTCGTTGTCGTCGTTTTCAGCGTCGGCGCCGTCATTGGCACTACCGTCGTCATCGTCATCGTCGTCGTCGCAAGAATCGCTGGAATCACCGCCGCGTCTGCCGTCGTCGACGTCGCCGTGATGCCGCGCCCGCGCGGCTGACCGACTCGCGTTGAAGTGCCGGCGCATCAGCGCGGTGCGCGCTGGGAGGTCCCCGGCGGTCGGCGCCGCCGCGGTCGCGCCCATCGCGACAGACTTAGCCGACCGCTCGGCGCGCGAGATTGCGCGCTCCAGCGCGAACGCAGCAACGCGCCAGCCGGCGCCAAGCAGTCATCGCAATCGCCGCCGCGCGGGTTTTGCTCGCCTCGTTGCAGGGCGGGTCGGTCGGGTGATCGCGCGAGGAGTGGAGTTGACAATTCAAATTCGGCAGGGTGAATTCTCGTTTCTAGAAAGGTATAGGGATCTCCCCCCCAGAACTTTACCGCCCGCCCGTGTGTCTTGCCACGTGCTTGTGGTTCTGCCCCATCGCCCATCTTAAGTATAAGCTCGTGCCATCCCAGGCAGTCCCGCATCGCACCCCCCGCGCATTTCCAAAGTCGCATGCGCGCGCATTCGTTCATCCAAATTCATCAATGTTCAAGAATCCTTTGCAGAAGCACGGGGGCGATGCGCACGCGCGCGCGTCGTCTCGCGCGCATGCCGAAATCTTTCAAAACACCGCAGGTGTCGCGAGGATCCAAAACATCGAGTATCCCGTAAACACAGGTACACAAACGGTCCGCAACCAGAATGTTCAAAAGCGCATGCGGTTGCGCTCTTGCGACTCTCCAGAAAGCGTTAGGTTGTTCTATATTTTTCTCAAATTTGCCAAACGCGTTTGTCGCTCGCGCGTTGGAATCGCTCGAACGCCCTCCCTCGCGCGCGCGCCGTCGGGAGGGCCCCTCGCAAAATGCGCCCGTCGTCGCGCGCGCGTGCCGGGGTCCATCAAAAACCTGGGCCCGTTGGGATCTTAAGCTCGAGTGTTCCCGTAACAGGTGTAAGCACCTGGTTTTGCAGCGCCGGTTTCCGAAGATTGCTTGCGCGCGGGCTCTTGCGAATGCTCAAGGAAACCAGATGTTGTTCATCATCATCATTTTCATTGCATTCAACCAAACTGGCTTCTCGCGCCGCATGTCAAAATCATTCGAATGCCTTTGCGCGCGCGCTCGGCACGACTCCTTGTCGCATACTACCATGCGGGTTGCTCGCAAGCGTCGGCCGCTCGCGCGCCGAATTCCTTCCAACACCTGCATCACCGACGCGAGGACGTCGTCATCGTCATCGTCATGGTCAGCATCACCGCCATAATTTGCCCTGCCGCCGTCATCGTCGTCGTCGCAAGCGTCGCTGAAATCATCGTCGCGTCTGCCGTTGTCGTCGTCGCAATGATATTGCGCCCGCCCGAGTCACCGACTCCTACTGAAGTGCCTGCTGGGAAGTGCCCAGCGGTCAGCGCCGCCTTGGCCGCGTCGGTCACGCCGCAATAGTTGGCCGCTGCACGCGCGAGCGTGCGCGGGCAAGCGCGGCCGCAGAGATGCGCTGGCTAACGCCGAACACTCAGCGAAATCGCCGCCGCGTGGATTCTCCACACCAGGTTGCGGGTGGGTGGGTGGGATGCTTGGGCGAGCAGTGGAATTGACAGTTCCATTTTCTTCACGAAGAGTTCTTTTCTGAAAGGACAACGGGGTCTACCTCCCCCCCGGACTGAACCGCTCACTTTTTCGTGTTGCACTTTACAGATGATTATGTTGATCGCCGATGGTTCAACTTGAGCCCATCCCACCCGAGCCAGGCTGGTACCCCCTCCCACCTCATCCTCTGCAGCAAATATTATGTGCGCGCTCTCGTTTTTCACAAATCATTGGATTTCAAGAATCCCCCCCAAAAAAAATGAAGTGCACGCGCGCGTCGTCGCGCGTTCAATCCGAAATCCTTCAAAACCTGAAGTTTCGTGCGGATTAAAAAATCGAGCGTCCCGAAAAGGTATATAACACATGGCTTCGCAACGCGAGTTTTCAATTTGTGTTTGCGCTCGTAACAAGCGGTGGTTGACAATATTTTCATGAAGTGCTAGCAAACGGGCCTTTCGCGCGCGCATGTCGAAATCGTTCGAACTCCCTTGCGCGCGTGCTGTGCCAAGAATCTCTTTAACAACGTGGGACGAAGTGCGCGCGCGCGCGTCGTCGAGCGCGCGTGCCGCAATCCTTACACAACCTCATGTTTCGTAGGGATTTCCAAAGCGGGTCTCCCGAATGCAACACCAGTGTTCAGAAAATCCTGCGCTCGCGCTCCTGCGAACTTTGAATAACATAGGCTGTTTCCCACATTTGTATCACATTCGACCAAACGGGCCTCTCACGCCGCATGTCGAAATCGTTCGAACGCCCATGCGCGCGTGATGGCGGGGAGGCACTCGCGCGTCGGCCGCGCACGCACGTCGAGTTCTTGCCGCCGTCTCGTACCGAGGTGCCCGCTAGTAAGTGCCCAGCGGTCAGAACCACCTCGGCCGTGTCGGTCGCGCCGACCTGGCTGGCCATTGCGCGCGCAAGTCTGCGCAGGCAAGCGCGGCCGCACAGATGCGCCAGCGAACACCGAACACTCAACGCAATCGCCGCCGCATGGGTTTTGCAGACCAAGTTGCGGGCGGGTAGGGGGCATGATTTCGCGAGCTCTGGACTTGACAGCTCACTGCGAGCATTGGTGAGCTGCACCGCGTCGATTGCACCTCGTGGGCTGGACCACGTAGATTGCGCAACACGGAGTGCACATCATCGGTTGCACCACATGTTGTGTTCAGCATATATTACACACCGTATATTCACCATATAACTTGCACCACGCCTGTTGCGTTACATACACTGTGCACCATATGTCACGCCACAAAGGAGTGCACTACATAGGCGGCACCATGTACATTGCACAACATTGCTTGCACCACGCCTATAACACAACATCGGTTGCTAGAAACATATTGGTTTGGGTCCACATTGGCTAACATGTAAAGTTTGTATTGACGGTATCTTTGTGCTGTTCCCTCGGGTATTATTCGTGGAAGGGGTCGTTCGCTGTTTCTTGGGCCACGACCGCCCTCAGGCAGAGGAACGGGGGAGGAGGGGTGCAGGTAGACGCTGTTTCATTCAGCTCGGGCCGCCAGCCAGGCAGCCGGGCATCGACCAAGCAACGACAAAGCAGCAGGCAGCGGGACCCGAAGTTTTACGACGAAGACTTTCTACAGAAGTTCTTCGACAATTGGGACAACGGGATCATGATGGAGGAGATCCCACAACCGTCGCTGAAAGTGATGAGGTAGCTGATGGTGTTGCTGATGAAGATGATGGTGTTTATGATGTTGATGATGATGATCAATGGTGATGATGCTGATGATGACGACAGCGATGACGGTGAGGACGACGACGACAACGACGATGATGATAATGATGATGGTGACGATGATGATGACGATGGTGGTGATGATGATGGTGATGATAATAATGATGATGATGGTGATGCTGATGCTGATGATGATGATGATGACGATGCTGATGATGATGATCATGATGATGATGATGGTGGTGGTGGTGGTGGTGACTTGGATGCTGAGGATGGTGATGGTGGTGGTGGAGACTTGGATGATGATGATGATGATGCGGATGATGATGGTGATGATACTAATGATGATGATGATGATGATGATGGTGATGCTGATGCTGATGCTGATGATGATGATGATGATGATGATGACGATGCTGATGATGATGATGATGATGATGATGGTGCTGGTGGTGGTGGTGGTGGAGACTTGGATGATGATGATGATGATGATGAGGATGAGGATGAGGATGAGGATGAGGATGAGGATGAGGATGATGATGATGATGATGATGATGATGATGATGATGATGATGATGATGATGATGATGATGATGCGGGTGCGGATGCGGATGCGGATGATGATGATAATACCTATACGACCACCCTTCGGGCGATAAGGAGGTTGTGGGAGGGGGGGAGAGGGGGGGAACCAACATCTGACTCAATCAATCTCACTATCGATCTCACTCAACGGGACACCACGGGACACTTTTCGATCTCATTGTCGATCTCACTCAACGGGACACCACGGGACACCGCGGGACACTTCTCGATCTCATTATCGGTCTCACTATCGATCTCATTATCGATCTCACTCAACGGGACACCATAGGACACCAAGGGACACCTCGGGACACCACATCGATCTCACTATCGATCTCACTACCGATCTCACTCAACGGGACACCACGGGACACTTGTCGATCTCACTATCGATCTCATTATCGATCTTACTTTTTGCGACACCACGGGACACCTCGGGGCACCACATCGATCTCAGTATCGATCTCACTATCGATCTCACTCACCGGGACATCACGGGACACTTGTCGATCTCACCATCGATCTCACTTTTTTGGACACCACGGGACACCTCGGGGAACCACATCGATCTCAGTATCGATCTCACTATCGATCTCACTTTTTGGGACACCACGGGACACCACGGGACACCACGGGACACCGCGGGACACCGCGAGCCACCGCATAAAGGGACGGACGGACGGGCGGGCGGGGGAGAATCATTTGTCTTGATTTCGCCCTAGCAACGGCGAACACCACGGAACACCGCGGGACACCGCGGGCCACCGCCGGACGGGCGGGCGGGGGAGAATCATTTGTTCCCCACATGCTTCGTGGGGTTCTGGTTTTCTTCCCACCCGCGCCGCACCCGCGTCTCACCCACACCCGCCCTCCTCCCCTCCTCCTCCTCCTCCCCCTCCTCCTCACGCACACAGCACAGCGCAGCGCAGCGCAGCGCAGCGCAGCACAGCACAGCACAGCACAGCACATCACAGCGCAGCGCACACAGCACAGAGCAGCACAGCACAGCACAGCACACACACACACACGGCTTGGCACGTGCGGCACATTCTCGACGCCATAGGGGTCGTCCATGGCACAGCAGGCGTGGCAGTTTTGCACAGCACACCTGCACAGCACAGCATAGCACAGTACAGCACACCGCAGCACAGCACGGCACGGCACAGCACAGCACATCGCAGCACAGCTCAGCACAGAATAGCACACAGGGCAGGCGCGCAGGGCACGGCACGGCAGAGCGTGGCAGGGGTGGCACTTTCTCGACACCCCAGGGGGTGCGCAGGGGGTGGTCCCTGAGCTCGGCCGCTATGCACGACGGTTGTCCAGGCACAGCAGACGTGGCACCTTCTCGACACCACAGGGGGTGCGCAGGGGGTGGTCCCTGAGCTCGGCCGCTATGCACGACGGTCGTCCAGGCACAGCAGGCGTGGCACTTTCTCGACACCATGGGGGTGCGCAGGGTGTGGTCTCTGAGCGCGGCCGCTATGCACGACGGTCGCCCAGGCACAGCAGGCGTGGAACTTTCTCGACACCAGAGGGGGTGCGCAGGGGGTGGTCCCTGAGCTCGACCGCTATGCACGACGGTCGCCCAGGCACAGCAGGCGTGGCACTTTCTCGACACCATAGGGGGTGCGCAGGGGGTGGTCCCTGAGCTCGGCCGCTATGCACGACGGTCGTCCAGGCACAGCAGGCGTGGAACTTCCTCGACACCATAACGGGGTGCGCAGGGGGTGGTCCCTGAGCGCGGCCGCTATGCACGACGGTCGTCCAGGCATAGCAGGCGTGGCACGTTCTCGACACCATAGGGGGTGCGCAGGGTGCAGACCCGATATTGCGATGAGGGGTCTGGGTGCGATGATAACCGCGAGGTTGTCGTTGTCAGCAATGACGGAAATATATCAGCAATATCTCAGCAATGATAGGCGATGGTAAGTTGCTTAGCAGCACCTGCAGAGGTGTCTACCGATACGCCCAAGCTCAAGGGCCCTTAAAGGATTGAGCCCAAAAGGTTACGAAAGGACACGTTACCTTCCGTCTGAATATTAGCACATTCTGCTTGCTTGCCGGCACGCTATGCTACACTGCTTACATATCAGTACTGACACTATTTATCTCACACTCGTGCAAAATTCTTCTGATCTGTGCATCTACCGATATAGCGCATTTAGACGTGGTAATGGCACGTCAGCGAGCTAAAATGAGACCAGGCGCACCGCGCGCTTGAAAAGTGAGCCGGCACAGGTCAGGTGTGCCTCATGCTCTCTGGCCTGGTCAGTCGGCTCGTGACGCTGCAAAGCGAGGCGTGTGTCTCGCAGCACTGCCCTGATGGCACTGCCGTCCGATCGCTTGGTGAACTGATCACCTATCTGTTGATCAGTCGGAACCCAAAAGAGAGGTAGCTGGCTGCGCTGATCGTCAGCGACGAACTCGTTGCTAACTTCCTCTTCTAGTGACTCCTTGAGGCCCACTAGGTCGAGCAAAAAAGCGCCGCTCTGACGGGAGCTTGGAAGAACCGTCTTTGTGCATCGTATCGTACAAGCTGGCGCAATCTGTGACCTGAGCGAGCGGCAACAGACTCGGCGGGATGTCCTCTGGATGGGCATCCGGAATCTCTAGCGAAGCGAAAACACAGCGTGTAATCTGAGCACCGCCTAGAGCGTCTACTGCCGACATCGTCTCGGCTGCCAACGTAGATCTGCATACTCTCTTGATGGTGCCCGATCTCCAATCAACGATCCCTGCTCGAGCTCGATCTCCGCGTAGTAGCTTGGCTTCTGCGAGAAAAGTCACGTAGCCGGCCTGCGAGCGAATCTTGATATTCTTGTCCTTACTGGTTCCTCCCACGGTCTTCGCGAGCAACTTGGAGATGGCGCCTTCAGCTGGCTCATCAGCGTTGGCCCAACTGGCGTCGTGGAACGTCACCAGGCACAGAGGTCCACGTAATTTAGGGAACTCCAATCGGCAACACCCAAACATACTTATACTACATGTGCGTCGCCCCCCCAGGGGCGACGCGCGCACCGAGAAATCTTATAGTATATGCGTCGTGGCGGGCGCTTTCTGGCCACACCGCTCGGGAAACGATATACTACAAGATGGGTATACTATATGTTGGGGTCGGACGCGCGCCTCCAAGGAGGACATATAGTATTAGTATGTCCATGTGCGTCCCATCCAAACCCACGTCCGCGTGCTTCCGCGCCAGCTTGATGAGCCTGTTCGTCTCGAGCAAGTCCTGGATGGTGGGCTTGTTCTGGGCTCGCTGCCCCATGGCCACTCCAGCTGCCAGGTCGGGGCGAGTCTGCGATGAAAGCCACCCGAGCGCTCCGAGCGCGGAGCGGTTGTCCGAGAACTCAGCTGGCGTAGCATCTGACGACAGTTCCGTCTTGCGCTCCTTGCTGAGCGGAATCTCCTCGATGGTGTTCGCGTACTCGGTCTGCCGTAGATGTAGCACTCTTTCTTGATCTCGCCAGGCCTGCTTGCCGCAAAAGGTAAAGGGCAAGCCTCGCCAGTCGCCCCGGGGCAACAGCTTGTGAAGCCTGTCGTAGAGGCCCGGGTACTTGCGCGAGATCCCCAGCAGCAAGTCGTCCACGTGGGCGACCACCACCGCACAAAGCTCCCCGTGCTGGTCGTAGCCGTAGTACAGCGCTGGGTCCAGCGAGTGCTGGTGTAGGCGAATCACGTAGTTGTCGCTCAGCTTCTCCTCCACCGCGAGCAACGTCCTCTTGAGTTTCGCCCACCACTGTCTCGGTGCCGTCGCCAGCCCGAAAACTCCCTTGAGGATTTTGATCACTTGCTTCGGGTTGGGCCCAGGCAGACCTTCGCGAGGCTGGGCCAGGCACAGCTGCTGGTCGGGCTGCTCGTCGCCTTGCATGAAAGCCGCCTCCACGTCCGCCGCGTAGATCTCCAGGTCGAACCTCTGGCAGATGGTGAAGAACAGCATGGTCGAGTTGCGGGTGACCGTGGGCGCGTCCGTCCGCAGGTCGCCCTGGGCGAGGCGCGGGTCCATGTGACCCCCGACGCAGAGTCGGGCCTTCGCCTTGACCGGCAGCGGATGCTTGTCGGTCCGCAGCGGGGCGTTCTTGTCCCGGTACACGAACCGGCTGGGCAGGATGAGGCTGGGCTTGATCATGCCCCTGATCGCCTCGGACTCCTCGATGGAGAGTACCTGACAAGAGCCATACTTCTGCCACTCGCTCCACTGCTTGGCGGCCGCTTCCCTGAAGAGCTCCTGATCGGAGTCCTTGATGGCCCTCCAGTGGATCTCCTTGTCGGCCTGCTTGCGCTTGATCCTCTCGGTCACGATGGAGGTTTGCAGTACTTGTCTTGGAGCCGACCTCGAACGTTGGCGGGCTCCTTCTGCTCCGGGTCCGGCTGCTGCCTCTTGATCGGGCGCCGCCGCGCGGTCGCGCGAAGTTGCCCTTGCGGGCAGGGCGCCCGAGCCTGCGTGCTCCCTCTCGGTCTGGAGGCGCTTGAAGGCCGGGCCGAAGTCGCCGCTGCCCCCTCCGTCGAAGGTAGCTCGACGTCGTCGGAACTCGTCAGGGCCGTAGGTTCGCTCTTCTTCAGCTTGCTGCGGTACGTCGGCGGGCAGCACCTGGATCTGCTCCTGCTGGGGCGGATCCTCGGAGACGTTCAGCCTGAGGTCGCTGTCGTCCGGGTTGTCGATAAATTCCCGCCACGCCTGCTCCATCTCGTCTGGCTTGACCTCGGGCTCGCCAGGCGCCGGGCGGATGTCCTCCACCGGAGCCTCTTCCTGTTCGAGCGAGTCGCGAGCCCGGTTGAGCTCGGCCACGGCCTGACCGATCTCGCCCCTGCCGTTCGGGAACCAGACGTCGTCCGGAGCGAGTGCCTTGATGTGCTCCGGGGCCACCAGCATGGCGTGCCCTCCTAGCGAGACCCAGGTGTTCTCGCCTTGGTGGCCGATGACTACGCACGGCCCCCGCCAGATGCCCTTCTTGGCGTTGCGGTTGTGCTGCTCCCGCTGCTCCTTCTTCTTGACCTGGCGGAAGACGTAGCACATCTCGCCCACTGACAAGGGCGTCGCCACCGCGCGCGCGCGAGCCAACATAGCTCGCCGGAGCTGGTCGTCGTTCTGCATCCTCATGAACGACTCGCGCGCCGCCGTCCGAATAGCATATCGTCGGCGAATCTTCTCGTCGTTGGCCGCGAGGCTATGGGCGCTGTAGTTGGCCGTATCGTCCACTAGGTCTCCGGGCATCTTGGGGTCGCGTCCCAGCACCCACTGCGCGGGGCTGAAGCCTGCTCGCCTTCTCAGCGAGTTCTTCGCGCCCGAGACCATGATGGCCAGCGTCCGCATTTCGTCCTCGCCCCTGATCGACGAGTGCTCGATCGTCCTCGCCGCGAGCTCCTTCCACCAAGCTCCCTGGCGTTCCACGCGACCGAGCTGCCAATGTGCCTGACCGGCGATGGGCAGCTGAATCGTGTTGAATGACTGGAACAGCTCGCTGAGGGCGCCGCCGAACCCCTTCTCCATGTCGAAGTGGACTCGGTCTGGCACGCCCGCCCAGGAGGCCCAGCACCTCTCGAACGCGGCGGCGAACTCCTGGCTGGTGTGGCGACCGATCAGCGTCGCGACGTGGAAGGTGGTAGCCAGGTCGACGACGCTGATGTACCAGTAGCTCTTGCCGTCGACGTCCTTGAGCTCGAAACAGTCGAAGCCGACGTCGTCTCCAAAATCTTGCACAAAGTGGAGGTGCGCTGGTCTCCTCGCGCTCGGGCGCTCGGGCGCTGGTCTCCTCGCGAGTCGGCCTGGGCGGTGGCCGACTTAGCGCCTTTGAGTCGCAAACTGCGTCCCAAATCTTCATTAGACGGATGGCCCAAGTTGACATGGAGTCTCTTGAGCAAGGCCAGCTCGGCTGGCTTGCAGCAGGCTGCTGCTTTCTTTGTACAGGTAATCGCGCCGACCCCGATCCTGCCGTCCACAGTATCTTCGGCCCGCACGTCGTGAGTGTCGGCGAAGTCGTCTCCGCCGCCCATGGGGTCTGGGCCCCCATCAGGCTCGCCCGTTTCTCCCAGGGGCGCGGTGTCGTTCACGTAGGCGGTGGCCTGCCCCCTGGGCACTGTCACGATGAAGGGCGACGAGTGCGACTGGCAGTCCACTTGGTAGGCGCGCTGCCCACCTTGCTGGCCAATAACTTGCTCCACGATGCGCACCACCGCTCGGCAGAACTTAGCAGGATAAACGCCAGACATGCGCACCGCCACGTTGTCCCCGAAGGTCTGGTCGTGGTGCTTGTGGCTGCAGGTGCGCTTCAGCTGCTCGAACTCCTTGTGGGTAACGAGCAGCTTCGCGGGGTGCTTGATGAGTCCCCCCGTCTTGTAGTGTCGAGCTTTGTACTCGCACATGTCGCACCTCACCTGGTGCACGCGCTCGTCTGCCAGTAGCTCCAAAATCGCGCGTTGTGTCCATAGCCGGCTGGTGGCCGGGTTCTCGATCATGGCCATGTCACCAGAGTCGAGCTGGTACTTGAAGAGGTCGCGGGCCAATAAAAGGAACGGCCGCTCCGCCCTCCAGATCCGCCGGAACGCCTGCTTGGCCTGCGGCGTCCGAAAGTTGAGGTGCGTGATGTTCGTGTAGTGGGTGCAGGGTAGTTCGATTGACACGAACTTCGGCCTCGAGGCGTAGTACAGGTCGTACGTCGCGTCGAGGTCCTTCTGCTTGCGTAAGTCCCATCCGTACTTGCGGTCGATCACCTCTGTGGCCGTCATCTGGCGCTTCCACGCCGCCTCGGTGATGCCGCCTTCGCCTCCGAACACCTGCGTGACGTCCACGCGGTGGCTGCGAACGCTGTAGGCCTCCTTGAAGTTCTGGACGTGGTCGACCACGTCTCGTGCAGCACTGGTAGCATGCTGCACCACTGGCTTGAGAGGTCTAGCCAGCCAGTCCGCGGTGAGCACCGTCTTAAAGGCGAAGGCGCTCAGCAAGCCCGTGACCTGGTAGAGGAGGCCGACGCGCTTGCCCTTCTTGATGCCTGGTCGCCGCCTCGGGGCTGGCGACCCGCCCTGGCGGCCACCGCCGCCTAGTCTCGGCTCTGCTGAGGTTCCCTGGAGGCGCTCGGGTGATCCTCCCTGTCGGTCTCGCCCGCCTTCTCGAAGCCCATGTCGCTGGTGTCCATCTCGTGCGGCTCCGGAGGACGCTGGCGCCGATGCCCGGCCCAGCTCCCCCGGCTTGCTGAGGCCCTCGTGGTCGTCGCCGCTGGCGCCACCCACTCGTCGTCTAGCACCACCTCCTCGGCCATCACTGCCTCCAAGGTGGTCTTGGCCTTCTCCGGGGGAAGGGGCTGCACTCCGTGCGCCTTGACCCACCTGACAAACCGCGCCAGAAGCGGGCTTGCCCGGTTGCTGTTGAGCTCCAGGACCGCCCACTGCGCGTAGCCCAGGTCGTTCTTGAGCACCCAGCGGTAGTCCGCCGTGGGGTACTTGCCGAAGCGCATCTTGTCGGCCCCGGTGATCTGTGAGCTCGGATGAGCCACCGTTGCCGAGGCACTGCTGGCCGCGTCCTCGACCTTCAGCCCTTGAGGCGCTGCCTGAGCTCCGGCGCGGTCGTGCGCTGGTCGAACTCGATCTGGCGGTCCTGGCACAGCTGCTGGAGCTCCCCCTTGTTCTTCTTGCCAGGCCCCGGGACGTAGTCGTCCTGCGGCGTGCTCTCGCGGTCCTCGGCCCTCAGCGCACGCAAGATCACCCGGGGCTGGTCGCACGTGGCGTCGCGCACATCCAAGTCGTAGCTTGCCACCTCGGCCTGCAGCTCCGGCATCCGCATGCTGGATATCGCCGGGAGACGGGCAGCACTCGTCGTCGGCAAGTTATGGTTGCTGCTCCCCGGGCTCGTCTCCTTGGGAGATGTCGTACATCGCTGGTGCGGCGGGGGCATAGGCGCCGGCCGCCGGTTCGTAGAAAGCTGCGGTGGCTGGATCTGCCACGGCACGCGTCGTACTCGCTGGTGGAGCCACAGTTGAACTCGAGCCGGATGGCTGCGGTGATGATGTAGTTTGATGACTGCGTGCTGATGGCTGATCTCGTGGCTCGCTACGGCTTGCTTGCTGCTGAAATCGAACATGCCGTGACGGAGGATCGCTGCGAGGTTTAGCTCTTCGTTCGTCATGATCGTGGTTTGTCTGCATAATCTGTGCTGTGCTGACTGACCTAGTACACACTCCCCAGGCCTCGCCTTCCGATCCCGACGACGATTGACGTGATGGAATGTAAGCGTTCATGGCCTGGCGCACCTGCTGCTCAAACAGTTCGGCGCTATCGAGCGCGTCGCAGTCAGTGTCCGACTGAGACTCGTCGGCCTCCGAGGCGACCCCTTGGCGGCGAGCCTCGGGCACCACCGGCTTGGCGGCGCTGGCCACAGCTGTCTCAGCGTGGTAAGAAGCGCAAGGGTGGAGACGAATCTCGGCCTTGGTATCCGAGACGTCCGAAACGGGCTTGTAGCTCGGCGTGAAGCCTGTGATGTCCAGCGTCGGGTGTCCGGCGCGGCTCAGGCCCATCTGGATGTCGTGCTCGTCGATCGACTTGATGTCCAGCTTGTTGTCTCCGGCGTGGTAGACTGTGTCCAGCTCGCTCTGGGCCTTGCGGCTGAACAGTCCTGGCACGGCGCTGCGCACGATGCTCATGCGGACGGTGAAGGCCTTGCCGTTCACCGAACAGGGGATCAGCGCCGCCTTGAGGCTGAACACCACCTTCGACGCCCCGAACCGGAACGGCTCCTTCTCGGGGTACTCGATGGGCTGGATGTTGAAGGCGGCCAGCCTCTTCTTGATGTCGTTGTACCAGTCTAGGCCGCCGACGCACCGCGTGCAGGCCGTGTCGAAGGTCAGCTTGCCCCCCGACTCCTTCAGCAGGTCCTCGACGCTGAGGTAGATAAGCGCCGAGCTCGTCGCGGCCATCAGGCACTGGTGGTCCTTATTGATGAAGAACGCCGCTGCCGCAACTTCTTCGGGTAGCCCGGCGGCCTGGCGCATCTGCATCCCGTCGATGCTGTGCAGCGCGCCGTACTTCCTGTCGCGAGCTGCGGCCCGCTGGTCCTGCTGGTAGACCGCCGCGACCGTCATCTCCGCCACGTGAGGCTCCTGTCGTCACTGGTCTCGTGCGTGGCGATGTTCGTCCTGTTGCTTCCCTTCTTCGGGATGTCGGCCTTGGCGCTAGGGTCGTTCTTCTTCGAGCACTGCGGGTCACCGCGCCAATGGCCCTTCTGGCCACATGCGCCGCAGTGTGTCCTTGCCTTCATCTTGGCGATCTTGGGATCGTCTCTCTTCGGCGGGTTGCCGCCGTCGCGCTTGGCGAAGTAGCCGCGTGCCTGCTTCGCCTCCTTCAGCTTGTCCTTGGCGCGCACCATCTTCTTGGTGAAGAAGGCAACCTGCTCCTCCGCCTCGTCGATCGCGTCCTGCAGCTCGTCGGGCAGCTCGTCCTCGTAGTCGTCGGAGCTGTCTGAGGACGCGCCGTCGAACTCGGCCCTACGATCCTCCTCGTAGGTCTCCGTGGCGTACGCCCGCTTGTGGTCCTTGTTCTTGTGACCTCCGTAGCCTCCTTTGTCGTGGCTGTCCTTGTTGCCGTCCACGACCGATACCTTGGGCAAGTTGATCATCAACTGCTCCTGAATCTTGGTGGGGTTGAACTGGTTGCCCACACCGTTGAGCACGCTCGCCGCGCGCTCCGGGGGTAGGCGGGCCCCCTTGATGTACAGGTCCGCCAAGACCTCGTCGGGCACCTGGATGCCCTTGGCCTTCAGCTTGGTGGCGATTCCGTTCAAGCGGTTGTTGTAGTCGCGGATCTCCTCGTACTTGTGCCGGACGCAGGCAGGGCGCACGAAGGTCTCCAGCAGCGCTGGGGCCTCCAGCGCCTCGATCTCGGGAAAGCGCTTCCCGAGGTACTCCAGGAACACCTCCACCGAGTCGTCGCCCTTGATGGCGTCCAGGTCGAGCTCCTCGCACGCCTCCTCGGCCTTGCCCTTCAGGCTGGCCAGCAAGGTCGCTCCCTGCTTGGGCGGCTTGACCTCGGTCCCGATCTGCCAGGTGGCGACCTCTCGGCGGTGCTTCTTCATGGTCTTGCTCGTGCCATCGAAGACGGGTGCGGGGATCTTGCCCCCGTTGCTCTTGTCCTCGCCGCTGGCTGCAGCGGCTCCTCCTGCCGTCGCCATGGTGGCGACCTCGAATGAGAGGTACAGTCGCAATTCAAATCACGAGCCTGTAGTGCTTGCTAAATGACTCTGCGAAGTCGCGCACGTAGCTGCCGTGGTCGAGTTAGCTCCTGCTACCAATGCAGACCCGATATTGCGATGAGGGGTCTGGGTGCGATGATGACCGCGAGGTTGTCGTTGTCAGCAATGACGGAAATATATCCGCAATATATCAGCAAAGATAGGCGATGGTAAGTTGCTTAGCGGCACCTGCAGAGGTGTCTACCGATACGCCCAAGCTCAAGGGCCCTTAAAGGATTGAGCCCAAAAGGTTACGAACGGACACGTTACCTTCCGTCTGAATATTAGCACATTCTGCTTGCTTTCTGGCACGCTATGCTACACTGCTTACAGATCAGCACTGACACTATTTATTTCACACAGGGGGTGGTCCCTGAGCTCGCCGCTATGCACGACGGTCGTCCAAGCACAGCAGGCGTGGCACTTTCTCGACACCATAAGGGGGTGCGCAGGGGGTGGTCCCTGAGCTCGGTCGATATGCACGACGGTCGTCCAGGCACAGCAGGCGTGGCACTTTCCCGACACCAGAGGGGGTGCGCAGGGGGTGGTCCCTGAGCTCGGCCGCTATGCACGACGGTCGTCCAGGCATAGCAGGCGTGGCACTTTCTCGACACCACAGGGGGTGCGCAGGGGGTGGTCCCTGAGCGCGGCCGCTATGCACGACGGTCGTCCAGGCACAGCAGGCGTGGAACTTTCTCGACACCACAGGGGGTGCGCAGGGGGTGGTCCCTGAGCTCGACCGCTATGCACGACGGTCGTCCAGGCACAGCAGGCGTGGCACTTTCTCGACACCAGAGGGGGTGCGCAGGGGGTGGTCCCTGAGCCCGGCCGCTATGCACGACGGTCGTCCAGGCACAGCAGGCGTGGCATTTTCTCGACACCATAAGGAGGTGCGCAGGTGGTCCCTGAGCTTGCACACGGTCGTCCAGGCACAGCAGCGTGGCATTTTCCCGACACCAGAGGGGGTGCGCAGGGGGTGGTCTCTGAGCTCGGCCGCTATGCACGACGGTCGTCCAGGCATAGCAGGCGTGGCACTTTCTCGACACCACAGGGGGTGCGCAGCGGGTGGTCCCTGAGCGCGGCCGCTATGCACGACGGTCGTCCAGGCGTAGCAGGCGTGGCACTTTCTCGACACCACAGGGGGTGCGCAGGGGGTGGTCCCTGAGCTCGACCGCTGTGCACGACGGTCGTCCAGGCACAGCAGGCGTGGCACTTTATCGACACCATAGGGGGTGCGCAGGGGTGGTCCCTGAGCTCGGCCGCTAATGCACGACGGTCGTCCAGGCACAGCAGCGTGGCACTTTCTCGACACCATAAGGGTGCGCAGGGGGCGGTCCCTGAGCCTCTGCCGCTATGCACGACGGTCGTCCAGGCACAGCAGGCGTGGTTTCTCGACACCATAAGGGGGTGCGCAGGGGGTGGTCCCTGAGCTCGCCGCTATGCACGACGGTCGCCCAGGCACAGCAGGCGTGGCACTTTCTCGACACCACAGGGGGTGCGCAGGGGGTGGTCCCTGACGGTCGTCAGCCGCTATGCGCACGACGGTCGTCCACGGTCGTCCAGGCACAGCAGGCGTGGCACTTTTCCGACACCAGAGGGGGTGCGCAGGGGGTGGTCCCTGAGCTCGGCCGCTATGCACGACGGTCGTCCAGGCATAGCAGGCGTGGCACTTTCTCGACACCATAAGGGGGTGCGCAAGGGGGTGGTCCCTGACCGCGGCTAGTCGTCCAGGCACAGCAGGCGTGGCACTTTCTCGACACCACGTGCGCAAGCTTCGTCGACACCTCACAGACAGGCGTGGGGCATTTTCTCGACACCGCAGGGGGTGCGCAGGGGGTGGTCCCTGAGCTCGGTCGATATGCACGACGGTCGTCCAGGCACAGCAGGCGTGGCACTTTCCCGACACCAGGGGGTGCGCAGGGGGTGGAGGGGCCGCTATGCACGACGGTCGTCCAAGCACAGCAGGCGTGGCACTTTCCCAGAGGGGGTGCGCAGGGGGTGGCTCGGCCGCTATGCACGACGGTCGTCCAGGCATAGCAGGCGTGGCACTTTCTCGACACCATAGGGGGTGCGCAGGGGGTGGTCCCTGAGCGCGGCCGCTATGCACGACGGTCGTCCAGGCACAGCAGGCGTGGCATTTTCTCGACACCACAGGGGGTGCGCAGGGGGGGGTCCCTGAGCGCGGCCGCTATGCACGACGGTCGTCCAGGCACAGCAGACGTGGCACTTTCTCGACACCATAGGGGGTGTGCAGGGGGTGGTCCCTGAGGTCGGCCGCTATGCGCGACGGTCGTCCAGGCCCAGCAGGCGTGGAACTTTCTCGAAACCATAGGGGGTGCGCAGGGGGTGGTCCCTGAGCGCGGCCGCTATGCACGACGGTCGTCCAGGCACAGCAGGCGTGACACTTTCTCGACACCATAGGGGGTGCGCAGCTGTAGCATCATAATCGTCATCATCATTAAGAATTGTAGCCACCCTGGCTCATGCGGGCTCAGACTGCTGGATATGTGAATGCGGAAGGCCGCCGGTGACTCTCCGTCAAAGGTACGGTCCCCGTCATGGCGCCCAAATGCGCAATGTCTGCTTTGCCACCGCCTTGCGAGCAGCTCAAGAAATCAATGCAAGATATGGGCGCTGAGGTGAGCCTGGATGACTGATCTGACTGGTCTGGTCAGTCTGGCTGGTCTGGCTCAAAAAGGCGAAGCGGGATGTGACATGGTTTGTGAACACACGTGACATAAATTTCGCTACCGAGGAACCCCACATACGTAATTTAAATATTGTGTCCTGCGCGTGCCCACGGGCGTGGATTTGATAGGCGTGTCCTGCGCGGGCGTGGCAACGCCCCCGTTGCCGGCGTCGCCGACCCGCCGAACTTTCGCCAACGGCGAGCCATCGCTGATCAGCTGATCAGCTGGGAACCCGCTGATCCGCACACCCCCCCGGCTGATCAGCTGGGAACCCGCCGGACGAAGGGTTCAGCAAATACCTAGTCAAGCACTGCCTCCTGGCATCGTCGGCGCATTTTGTTCGCGGCAACTCGTTGCACCTGGTGAGGAGCGTGTCGGGCCACCAGTTTGCCAGCTGTCGGTGGTAAGCATCAAATGCGCCGCGTACCGAGGCGTTCCCATGCCGGAAAACATGCATTCGCAAACCATCCAGGCTCACCTCAGCGCCCATATTTTGCATTGATTTCTTGAGCTGCTCGCAAGGCGGTGGCAAAGCAGACATTGCGCATTTGGGCGCCATGACGGGGACCGTACCTTTGACGGAGAGTCACCGGCGGCCGTCCGCATTCACATATCCAGCAGTCTGAGCCCGCATGAGCCAGGGTGGCTACAATTCTTGATGATGATGACGATTATGATGCTACAGCTGCGCGCCCCCCATGGTGTCGAGAAAGTGCCACGCCTGCTGTGCCTGGACGACCGTCGTGCATAGCGGCCGCGCTCAGGGACCACCCCCTGCGCACCCCCTATGGTGTCGAGAAAGTTCCACGCCTGCTGGGCCTGGACGACCGTCGTGCATAGCGGCCGAGCTCAGGGACCACCCCCTGCACACCCCCTATGGTGTCGAGAAAGTGCCACGCCTGCTGTGCCTGGACGACCGTCGTGCATAGCGACCGCGCTCAGGGACCACCCCCTGCGCACCCCCTGTGGCGTCGAGAAAATGCAACGCCTGCTGCGCCTGGACGACCGTCGTGCATAGCGGCCGCGCTCAGGGACCACCCCCTGCGCACCCCCTATGGTGTCGAGAAGGTGCCACGCTTGCTATGCCTGGACGACCGTCGTGCATAGCGGGCGAGCTCAGGGACCACCCCCTGCGCACCCCCTCTGGTGTCGAGAAATTGCCACGCCTGCTGTGCCTGGACGACCGTCGTGCATATCGACCGAGCTCAGGGACCACCCCCTGCGCACCCCCTGTGGTGTCGAGAAAGTGCCACGCCTGCTGTGCTTGGGCGACCGTCGTGCATAGCGGCGAGCTCAGGGACCACCCCCTGCGCACCCCCTTCTGGTGTCGAGAAGGTGCCACGCCTGCTGTGCCTGGACGACCGTCGTGCATAGCGGCGAGCTCAGGGACCACCCCCTGCACACCCCCTGTGGTGTCGAGAAAATGCCACGCCTGCTGTGCCTGGACGACCGTCGTGCATAGCGGCCGAGCTCAGGGGACGAGAAAGTGCCACGCCTGCTATGCCTGGACGACCGTCGTGCATAGCGGCCGAGCTCAGGGACCACCCCTGCGCACCCCTTGGTGTCGAGAAAGTGCCACGCCTGCTGTGCCTGGACGACCGTCGTGCATAGCGGCCGCGCTCAGGGACCACCCCCTGCGCACCCCCTGTGGTGTCGAGAAAGTGCCACGCCTGCTGTGCCTGGACGACCGTCGTGCATAGCGGCCGAGCTCAGGGACCACCCCCTGCGCACCCCCTGTGGTGTCGAGAAAGTGCCACGCCTGTTGTGCCTGGACGACCGTCGTGCATATCGACCGAGCTCAGGGACCACCCCCTGCGCACCCCCTGTGGTGTCGAGAAAGTGCCACGCCTGCTGTGTTTGGACGACCGTCTTCCATAGCGGCGAGCTCAGGGACCACCCCCTGCGCACCCCCTATGGTGTCGAAAAATGCCACGCCTGCTATGCCTGGACGACCGTCGTGCGTAGCGGCGAGCTCAGGGACCACCCCCCTGCGCACCCCCTTATGGTGTCGAGAATTGCCACGCCTGCTGTGCCTGGACGACCGTCGTGCGTAGCGGCCGACCACCCCCTGCGCACCCCCTATGGTGTCGAGAAAGTGCCACGCCTGCTGTGCCTGGGCGACCGTCGTGCGTAGCGGTCGAGCTCAGGGACCACCCCCTGCGCACCCCCTTCTGGTGTCGAGAAAGTGCCGCGCCTGCTGTGCCTGGACGACCGTCGT